TATAAACCCTATAAACCCTATAAACCCTATAAACCCTATAAACCCTATAAACCCTATAAACCCTATAAACCCTATAAACCCTATAAACCCTATAAACCCGATCAACCCTATAAACCCGATCAACCCTATAAACCCTAAACTTGGTCACCCTAAGCCCTAAGCCCTAAGCCCCCCTAAACCTCTCAGCTCCCCCTAAACCCTAAACCCTAAACCCTAAACCCTAAACCCTAAGCCTAAACCGCCCTGAGCTCGAACAGAAATTTCAGTACGTCGGATTGCCAGAGCCCACGCGAGGAACGGACGCGTGGCCATGTTCGCGGCCATGGGCTGTCCCGAGCCCACGAGTTGGTGTTTATTGTTTAGGGTTTAGGGTTTAAGGTTTAGGGTTTAGGATTACAACTTTATAACCATGCATCTGGCTGTAGTTGAGCCCTGTGCGTAGTAACCTGGGTTAAAGCCGGCCATAAGCTTTGGCTACTTTTGGTAGCCCTGAGCCCTAAACCCTAGACCCTTAACCCTTAACCCTAAACCCTAAACCCTAAACCCTAAACCCTAAACCCTAAACCCTAAACCCCAAACCCTAAACCCTAAACCCTAAACCCCAAACCCGATTAGGGTTCTACATCAGGCCCCAAGCCAAGGCCTTTAGCCCGACTCAAGGAGCCGCTTAACGGGTTTAAGTGCTCTCCGGCCTGGAAAGGCGCAGGGTTTAGGGTTTAGGGTTCAGGGTTGGGTTTTCAATATGCGGCCCTTCCCCTCCCCTTCCCCCCCCCCCCCTCCCCCCTTCCCCTCCTTCCCCCCTCCTTCCCCCCTCCTTCCCCCCTCCTTCCCCCTCCTCCCCCCTCTCCTTCCCCACTCCTTCCCCCTCCATTCCCCCCTCTCCCCCCTCCTTCCCCTCCGTCCGCCCCTTTCCCCCCTCCTTCCCCCCTCCTCCCCCCTCCTTCCCCCCCCTTCCCCCTCCCTTCCCCCCTCTTCCCCCCTCCTTCCCCCCGCTCTCCCCTTCCCCCCCGCTTCCCCCCCTCCCCCCTCCCCTTTCCACTTTCCCCCCCCCCCCCCTTCCTTCCCTTCCTCCGCTTGCCCTTCCCCCCCCCCCCCTTCCCTTTCTTCCCCCCCCTTCCCCCCGTCCTTCCCGCCACTTCCCCTTACGCATGATGGACTTGGCATTTCGCATCCTTTTGCCGGAGATTGCGATGTTGATGACATTCCCTTTTCGTATACCGGGCTTGGTGTGTCTGCTGCAAACCCTACACCCTCAACCCTAAACGTCTTGCCAAGTCATTACGCCGGAGTACGTCCGCTTCCCCGGCTACCTGTCGCCCGGGCCCCGGACGTTCCTGGTAGGGTCGAGACAGCAGGGTGAGGGTTCAGGGTTTAGGGTTTAGGGTTTAGGGTTTAGGGTTTAGGGTTTAGGGTGTAGGGTTTAGGGTTTAGGGTTTAGGGTTTAGGGTTTAGGGTTTAGGGTTTAGGGTTTAGGGTACCTGGCGCACGGGCCCCTGACGTTGTGAGAGGGAAGGAGGGTTTAGGGCTTGAAGCCCACTGAGGCCTAAATCCGAACTCCAACTCCCCCAAACCCTAAACTCTAGTGAAGCCCCAAACCCTAAACCCTAAACCTTGGGCTCTAAACCCTAAACCCTAAACCCTAAACCCTAAACCCTAAACCCTAAACCCTAAACCCTAAACCCTAAACCCTAAACCCTAAACCCTAAACCCTAAACCCTAAACCCTAAACCCTGAACCCTGAACCCTGAACCCTAGAATGTTGAGAGTTGGGTTTTCGGGCTGTTCGGTTGCGTAGTGGTGCGTCGGCTGGTTTCCGCGTTGGAGCTTCTTGCATGCGCCAGGCTTCAGGGTTTGGGGGACCCGGAGCCCAAGTTGGGCTTAGGGTTACGTAGGGTTTAGGGTTTAGGGTTTAGGGTTTAGGGTTTAGGGTTTAGGGTTTAGGGTTTAGGGTTTAGGGTTTGGGTTTAGGTTCAGGGTTCAGGGTTTAGGGTAAGAGGTTTCGGGTTGACGCGGTTGAGGGATGTCGTGAGCCCTAACGCCTATAACCCCCGAAGCCCGAAACCCCACACCCTAAACCCTAAACCCTAACCCTAAACCCTAAACCCTAAACCCTAAACCCTAAACCCTAAACCCTAAACCCTAAACCCTAAACCCTATGCCCTAATCTCCTGCGGCTCAAGCTTCGCGTTGAATGTCCCGAGCTTGCCAGAAGACCCTGTGAGTAGGTTTTAGGGTTGAGGCGCTTTAGGGGGTTTAGGGAGTATAGGGGGTTTAGGGCGTTTAGGGGGTTTTAGGGAATTTTAGGGGGTTTAGGGGATTTAGGGGGTTTAGGGGGTTTAGGGGTTTTAGGAGGTTTAGGGAGTTTAGGGGATTTAGGGAGTTTAGGGGGTTTTGGGGGGGTTTAGGTGGTTTACAGCACGGGGTTTAGTTGAAAACCTCAAGGTTCTTGACAGGGTCGGTCCGGTGTGCAAGTAGCGGGGCTTCTGGTTTAGGGTTTAGGGTTTAGGGTTTAGGGTTTAGGGTTTAGGGTTTAGGGTTTAGGGTTTTGGGGCTGCAATGGTCCTGGTTTCTTTTGCCGATGGAAAGCACGGTCCTGCAAGACTAAGCAGTAAACGCGAAGGAGCCCAGCATGTTCGTCAAGATCTCCCCCGCACCCCCACCCCACCCCACCCATAATAGGCTGAAACGTACTTTAGGTCAGAATAAGCCCACCCCACCCACCTTAACACAAACCCTAAACCCTAAACCCTAAACCCTAAACCCTAAACCCTAAACCCTAAACCCTAAACCCTAAACCCTAAACCCTAAACCCTAAACCCTAAACCCTAAACCCTAAACCCTAACCTAAACCCTAAACCCTAAACCCTAAACCCTAAACCCTAAACCCTAAACCCTAAACCCTAAACCCTAAACCCTAAACCCTAAACCCTAAACCCTAAACCCTAAACCCTAAACCCCACCCACCCTAACACTTTTAATGAGGCCATCCCAGCAGCTCAAGTTCACGGACGTCCCCAATGGCCTCGCGGCTCTCTCCAAGGCACAGGGCCTCGGAACCTACATGTTCTTAGGGTTTAGGGTTTAGGGTTTAGGGTTTAGGGTTTAGGGTTTAGGGTTTAGGGTTTAGGGTTGTTTCTAGGAACCAGGGCACTTTAGGGTTTCGGTGTCCTCCCCCCCCCCCAACCATTGGCCTTAGAGCACCTTAGAGCCTTATGTATCTACTGTGCTGTGACGATGAGGCAGGTAAGGTTTCAAGGCCTTTGCAGTCCCGAAAACTTTCCTAATGTTTAGGGTTTAGGGTTTAGGGTTCGCCGGGAGTGAGGGCTCAAACCAGGCTAGGGTTGCAGGCCAGGCGCTTGTCACCCCCGCTACTAAGCTCCCTGAGCCTTCAAGTGCGAGATGAATATCGGCTCTCTGACACCTCCGCCCCGCTGGAGGGGCGGGAAATCCGAAACTCCATCCTCCGTGCTATGTAGTAGCAACCCTAAACCCTAAACCCTAAACCCCAAACCCTAAACCCCAAACCCTAAACCCTAAACCCTAAACCCTAAACCCAAAGCAGCTTATGATTCCGGGGCCTCAGAATCTGACCTCCCTTTTGCCCCCCAGGTTCCCTTCCTTGGCTGGATCCAGATCCTCATCTTCTGCGGCATGGTGGACTTCGGCCTCTACAGGCTGCAGCATGTTCAAGAGTCATTTTTGATTTTTCGGGTTTTGGGGTTTTGGGGTTTAGGCTTTTTGGGATTTTAGGTTTTTGGGGTTTCGGTGTTTTGGGGTTCAAGAAGGGGGTTTAGGGTTGGGGGTTCAGGGTCTTGGATTCAGGTTTAAGGGCGGCAGGGTTCGGAGGTGGTTTAGGGCCCAAAATGCCCCCAAGCCTTACGAAGAAACCAATTATGATGGGTTGAGGGTTTAAGGGGTTTAGGGTTTCAGGGGTTTAGGTTTTAGGGTTTAGGATTTAGGGTTTATATAGGGTTTAGGGTTTAGCTGGGTCTAGACTCAGTTGTTGGCTGCCCTTGCTCGTGGCTGGAAGCAGTTAGCTTCAAGCCTTTTGGGGAAGAGGGTGCTGGGTTTCGCGGTGCAGGCTTCAATTGGTTGGCTGTCGGGGCGTCAAAAGGCCAAGGGTCTGTCTGATGTAGATGCCTTGGGGACCTACAGAACCCGAAAAGGGTTTATGGCTCATACACCTTAGAAGGGTCAATCGTAGTGCAGGGTACATGGCCCCTAAACCCTAAACACTAAACTTAAGGGATAAGGAGGGACCCCTAGAAGGGACCCTCAAACCCTACATGTACCTTACATACTCCCTAAATACCTAAGTATTCAGGTTTTAGGGTTTAGTGATCTTACAGCCCCTTTTGTCAGCCTGAATGTTTGCGGCTCTCGGGTGTTTTAGGGTTTTCAGGGTTTAGGGTTTAGGGTTTAGCGTTTAGGGTTTAGGTTTTCTGGGTGTTTAGTTTAGAGTTCAGGGTTCAATGGAGGCGAAGAGTACGGCACGGGGCCTTGTGGACTTGCCCAGCCTGCAGTGCATGCCAAACCTTAAACCCTAAACCCTAAACCCTAAACCCTAAACCCTAAACCCTAAACCCTAAACCCTAAACCCTAAACCCTAAACCCTAAACCCTAAACCCTAAGGCCCCCTGAGCTTCCCTAAGCCATGGACCCCCCCTCCCTTACGAACTCCTTAAAAACCTGTGCACCGTGTCCTTTCCGAAGTGGTGAAGTGGTGCAAGCTGCAAACTGCAAACCCAGGGTGCCGAACACGCCCAAGGTTTAGGGTTTAGGGTTCGGGGTTTAGGGTTTGGGGTTTGTAGGGTTTAGGGATGTTTACTGCGGCATGTTTGGTTTAGGGTTTGTAGGGTGTATAGGGTTTTGGGTTAGGGTTTAGGGTTTGGGTTTACGGGACATCCTCAGCCCTTTCAGGTTGTGTATGGTGTGCTACAAGTGGCAGCCGTGTTGGCTTATTCTGCACTGCTGTTTCGGTTAGCTAAGCTCATCGGAGGATGCTGCGCATCCGCATGCTCTCTGGGGAAGAGGTGAGCATGCCTCTAGAGGAGGTGAGCTGCGTGAGGGAAGCGAAGCGGCGATTGCATCACGTGCACGGCCTGCCACCCCGCTTCAGGCAGAGGCTTCTATATCCTCCTTTGGGTTTTTTCTTTAAATTTTTGTTTATCTAAAACCCAAGAGTATATTAAACATATTATTTTTATTCAGGTTCTCAGGGGAGTATAGGTTACTCCTCCACGGCACCAATCTGGATGATGCTGACGAGCTGGGCTCTCCCCTGGAGCTCCACCTCGTTCTGCTCTCTTTCGCCGGCACTTCCCAGACACAGGCAACTTACTTGGCCAATAGTTGAACTTGAAACTTTTTGGGTTTCCTTTTGTAGTAGGAAAAAGAAAGTTTAACCTTTTTTCCCCTGGGTTATTGGAGAAGTAAGGCAAACGATCTCGTAGCTGCCGCCAGAGCTGGCTCCGTGGACAAGGCGGGTGTTTTGAACCAGTGCTTTGTTTAGTGGCCCTGCCATCCATAAACCTGGCTGCTTCTTCCTGCGCAGAACATGCACTTGAAGCCTTCTTGGAGGTTCATGGTACTTTTAGCCCAATATGGTTGTAATTGGTTCTTGAGTCCAGATATAATTCGGCTATTAAGTACCATGACTTCATGAACCTCAGGTTGAGGCCATGCTGCGTCTCCCTCAAGATCCGAATCTGGCAGACGAAGATGATCGGAGGCCAATCTTAGAGGCGTCTGGAGGAGGCCACGTCGAAGTCGTGCGACTGCTGGTGGAGGCCGGCGCCGACAAGGACGTGCCCGACGTAGATGGTTGCACAGCCCTGAGTTTGGCAGCAGCGGAAGTCGGCTGCATTGAGGTGGTTCGGTTGCTGGTGGAGGCCGGCGCCGACAAGGACCTGGCTGACAACAATGGCAACAGAGCCCTGATGTGGGCAGCTATTCGTGGCAACACCGAGGTGGCGCATTTGCTGGTGGAGGCCGGTGCCGACAAGGACCTGGCCTCCAATGGAGGCTACACAGCCTTGATGTCGGCAGCTGCAATCGGCCACAGGAAGCTGGTGCGGTTGCTGGAGGAGGCGCCAGAATCGGCACCCTTTGTGTCAGGGACCGGTCGAACCGACTCAGCCGCCAGCAAGCGGCGAAGGATCTCTTAGCTTATGGGAGCAACCCTGATGCTCGTGGCTGACGGGGGCGAGTTCACTCGCTGTCTTACGCGGCTTCCTAAACGGCCATAACTACTATTTGCTTCAGAACCCCCCCCAAAATGCATAATAATAATAATCCCTATATTGCCCTTGTAAGGATTTCTTTGTTTTTTGGGGTTCCGTACATAAAGCCCTAACCATGAGAGGAACTCATCCATAAAAGCATCCCGGACCTGCCTGGCCCGATGTTGAAAGAACGTGTGTCTTTGGCTTTGTGCGCTTGGAAGATACCCAAAAATTGGCTTAAGCTCAGTCGGTTGACCGCCCAGGAAACAAGTACTGGCCCTATATTACAACTTCGCTGAAAGTAGACCTATTTAAGAACCTATGCATGCCCTCAACCCTAATAAGCCATTGTCAGAAACCCCCCCCCCCCCCCAGTAGTACTTCTTGCTTTTGGGGTTTGCCGTTTACGGTTTGGGGTTTGGGGTTTAGGGTTTAGGGCCTGAAGCCCTAAACCCTAAACCCTAGACCTTAAACCCTAAACCCTAAACCCTAAACCCTAAACCCTAAACCCTAAACCCTAAACCCTAAACCCTAAACCCTAAACCCTAAACCCTAAGGGTTTAGGGTAGCTTCGGGTTCAGGATCTTGCCTTAGAACCAGGGCCCCGACGCCAAGACACGACCGACAAAGGCCCGAACTCCATCAAAGCCCTTGAGTCATGGGCTTCCCTACTACCCCCCTCTATGCCTGGGTTTAGGGTTTAGGGTTTAGTGTTTAGGATTTGGGGTTCAGGGTCTCCCCCTAGGTTCCCCCTTCACGAATCCGAATTAGGCTCAATTCTCCCTAAACAGCCTTAGTTCTGGAAGGAACCGAGGGTGGTAGTATAGAGGGTGGTTTAGAACCTGGACAGTTTTGTTCAGCAAACAGGAAGCAACACGTGCGCACAGGGCAAGCACCTTCACAAAACCGCAGAACGCAGAAACTTAGAGCCCTTGGGCCCTCAAGCCCCTTAAAGTCAAGCCTCAGTTCTGAACCCCAAATTCAAGACTTCAACCCTCAAGCCCTATAATTAATCCCCAATAACCTCAAGCCTCAAACCTCAAACCTCAAACCTCAAGCCTCAAACCTCTCAAACCTCAACCCTCAAACCTCAAACCTCAAACCTCAAACCTGGATCGCCTCTCCAGGGCCGACCCCTCCAGGGCCCCTGGTGACTACGAGTCGGGGGGCCCAACCAGCGTGGGTTTTGAAATGATGGGTTTAGGGTTTAGGGTTTAGGGTTTAGGGTTTAGGGTTTAGGGTTTAGGGTTTAGGGTTTAGGGTTTAGGGTTTAGGGTTTAGGGTTTAGGGTTTGCTTTGATGGGTTTAATGGGTTTTGATGGTCCGCACACGGCCAGAGCTTAGGGCACTCGAGACGTTAAGCACAGCAATACCCATCAAACCCTGGATGCCCCCGAAACCTTGAAGAGATTTGGGGTTCTGCCGGCTAGAACAAAGGGAACCTCTTCGGGTTTAGGGCTAAGGGTTTAGGGTTTAGGGTCCGATTAGAAGGACTGCATTTTGGGGTATAGAAGGCCCCCCCCGCCCCCCCAAATTTGGGAGATGATGTCGCCATGAAGCCTTAAATTCAAGCAAACTTCCGTCCGCAAGGAACGGCGGCATCTTGGGCGTGCCCAACGCCAGCGGGCCCATGGCAGATGCCGAGGGCAGGAACAGGCATCGGAACCCTAAACCCTAAACCCGAAACCCGAAACCCTAAACCATAAAACCCTAAACCCTAAACCCTAAACCCTAAACCCTAAACCCTAAACCCTAAACCCTAAGCCCTAAACCCTAAACCCTAAACCCTAAACCCTAAACCCTAAACCCTAAACCCTAAACCCTAAACCCTAAACCCTAAACCCTAAACGCCATCGCACAGGAAGCAGTGGCCTTTAGTACGCCCTAGTACAGGCCCTCAGGCTCTCAAGTCTGACAACCCCCGAGCAAATAGAACCCCCTAAACCTAGTGGCGCTGACCCTAAACCCTAAACCCTAAACCCTAAACCTTAAACCCTAAACCCTGTAACCCTCTAACCCTCTAACCCTCTAACCCTCTAACCCTCTAACCCTCTAAAGTGAAGCGTGGGTTTCCGAACATACGGGTACCTTTTTGGGGGTTCCCTTTGCGGGGACTCCTATTCGATTTGGTGTATGAAAGGGGTACCCCTATTCTGGGAAATGCCCACTAAGTGGCTCGAGCTTTGGCATGATCCTTGGGTTCGGGGTTTAGGGTTTAGGGTTTAGGGTTTGGGGTTTAGGGTTTAGGGTTTAGGGTTTAGGGCTAGGGACTCGATCGCTTGCAGCCAGATCCCCGCACTGCACTTCAGCCCGCAACAGCTAGCCCTCTATGAAGGGCCACATCAGGGGCTATAAGTGGAGGTTTGCGAACATGGGGGACCCGGTTTAGGGCTTAGGGTTTAGGGTTTGGGGTTTAAGGACCCTCTATATGCCCCCCGAAGAGTAGGCTTTTATTTGAATAAGGACCCCTTATAGCCTTATACTTTGTCATAGTGGGGTAACATTTTGCATTTTAGGGTACTTAAACTCACTAAGGAATTGAACCTTAAATTTGTAATGCTTTCCCAACCATGAACTGGTTATAGACCCCCAAGTAGTAGGATCCTAGTTTGATAAGGACCCCAATAAGGTACCCACTAATTTCGGGAACCCCCAGGGTTTAGGGTTTAGGGTTTAGGGTATAGGGTTTAGGGTTTAGGGGTAGTTGCAGCATAAAATTGCCCAGCCGGCGTCTCGTTCGGCCATTCCCTCTACGACCCAGGGCCACCCTGAACCCACTAGTCTGAATCTGCTTTTGCGCCCCTGCCCTGAAGCCGTAAAGCCCCAAAACCCCCACAGCTTTAACACCCGAAACCCGAAACCCGAAACCCGAAACCCGAAAACCCGAAACCCTAAACCCTAAACCCGAAACCCGAAACCCTAAACCCTAAACCCTAAACCCTAAACGCCTGCCAGGAAGCTCAACTCCGAGCTGGCAAACGGCCGCCTGGCCATGGTGGCCATCACCGGGATGCTCTTCCAAAACGGACCTCCCGGGGGGGATGAACAGAGGGTTTTTGGGTTTAGGGTTTAGGGTTTAGTAAGGGTTTAGGGTTTAGAGCCCCGGGCGATTTGATATTCAAGTTAAGTGTGTCGTGGGGTTCTGAAGTATGGTCTCCTGATATAGGGGGTGTATAGGTTCTTGCCGGGTTTCGGGAACCAGACGAGGATGCCTAGTAGCACCCTTACTAGCTAGGCGCGTGGGGATGTGGTGTATATTGACTTAATGAGGGCTACCAGGCGGGCCTGGAAATATTGAGGGTTTAGGTATCTTTCTCGCCCCCTGTCACCGTCACCACCCACACCATTGCCTTGTAGGGTTTAGGGCTGCCGCCCTCAATGCCCACCATCCAAGACGCTTCAAACCTGCAACACTTTTTAGAGGGGGTTTCCATACAGGGCCCAAGCCTTAGGGACGAGGGCAAGCCCCGACCAGCACTTGGGGATTCCTAAACCCTAAACCCTAAACCCTAAACCCTAAACCCTAAACCCTGAGCCCTCAACCCTGAACCCTGAACCCTGAGCCCGTGGCTTTGGCGCTGCGCGCGCTTTTGGGGGCCTTCGGCTTGAGTGCTGGGGCGTGCGTTCAGCCACGCACCTCGAGTTTCAGCTTAAGGTTACTAGGTAGGCCCTTGGGATATTTTATATTTTCCCTTGTTGGGTTTGAGAGGATCATATTTAGGAATATTTTTCATCCTAGGTTAGGGTTTAGGGTTTATGGTTTTGGGATCTCGCTTCAGGATTCAGGTTTGGGACGCAGATTGGTTAAGGGAGAGGCCTGGCCAAGCCAAAGCAGGGCTGTGCGTCGACTCCCGCTCTGTGAATTTCCTCAGCTAGACCAGCCCAACCTTAAGCCCCAAACCCTACACCCTACACCCTAAACCCTAAGCCCTACCCTAATCTAAACCCTGAACTCACCTTACATGCTTTTCAGGAAACCTAAACTCCTACCCTCTACACCCGGAACCCTAAGCGTAGGGCTTGAAGGGGTTGAGTTGAAGGTTTAGGGTTTAGGGTTGAGAGAAGAGGTGGGATCTTTCATAAGGGTCCCCAAACTCAAGGGTACAGGGTTCAGGGTTCAGGGTTTAAGGTTTAGGGTTTAGGGTTTAGGGTTACCTTAGGGGTCCAAGGAAAACTCCCATGACCATACTCCGAGTTTCTCATGAAGGCAGATGAGCTTAGGTGTGTCTTCAGGGTTTCGAAGGGCTCAGGATGGGCTGCGTAAGGCCAAAAAGGTATCCTAACCCCTAAACCCTAAACCCTAAACCCTAAACCCTAAACCCTAAACCCTAAACCCTAAACCCTATACCCGGCGCCCATCCACTGCTCGACTTCCAGAACTTAAGCCCCACAACCCAAGAATCCCAAGCTCGAAACCCTAAGCCTCAAACCCTGAACCCTAAACCACCCTAAACCCATACCGCAAACCCGAAACCCAAACCCTAAACCCCCCCCCCCAAATCCCCTAAAGCCCCGAAGCCAAAAATTCGGAGACCGAAGTCCAAAACCCTGCGCCACAAAACTATGGCGCAGGAATGTTCGGAACTACCGGGCCCGCAATGTGGGGCTTTTAAGCCACCCGGCAAGATCAGATTTTGTGGTTTGGGGGCTTAGGGTTTGTTTTAGAGCTGCGCTCTGCAACAAAAGAGGGATAAACAAACCCAAGGTATCAAGTCTCCTTTCCCCGGACATTTGACTCTAAACTTCAAACCCCTGAAGTCCTAACCCCTAACCCCTAACCCCTAACCCCTAACCACTAACCCCTAACCCCTAACCCCTAACCCCCAACCCCCAACCCCTAACCCCTAACCCCTAACCCCTAAGCCCGAACCCCTAACCCCTAGCCCCTACCCCCTAACTCCTACCCCCTAACCCCTAACCCCTGACCCCGAACCCCTAACCCC